ATTCAGAGTACCACTGAGTATGGCTCCATGTGTAACCAACTTCCCACAGCAAATGCACCACAATGCCACGCAACCGGAGGAGAGCACTACAAAGACAAAGGTGAGTTGGAGATCCATGTTTTGAAACTTCACACAGCATTCTATGAGCTGATGAACGGACTCCAGTCTGAGTCATGCTGATAGTTGCATTGACTACTGAGCACCTCAAGTGTCAGCAGAGCATCAAATTCTTCCAGTAATTCTCAGAGAGCATGAGTTCAGCTGGTCAACATGTGCACTGAGTCCTGGGAACCCTCCTTCAGTCAATGTGATAGGCTAGTGGTTCAGCGGCAAGGAGCATGGCCTACAGCCAAGTTAGGGCTCATCACAAGAAGTACTGTATTTCTGAGAAAGTACCAAAGTGTTGAACTGTACTCTGTATTCACAGAACAGTTTTTTATTACATCAAGAATGCTCAAAGTAGCTGGATGTGGTTGTGCATGCCTGTAATTCCAGCACTTGAGAGGCTGAGGCAGGAGGATCATTGTGAGTTTGAGGTCAGCCTGAGCTACAAAGTGAGCTCAAAGCCAGCCTGAACTGCATAGTGAGACCTGTCTCAGAAAAACAAAAACAAAACCAAAAAAAAAACAAAACAAAACAAAACAATAATGCTCAAAGTATTAAACTGTACCCTGTATTCACAAAATACTTTTTTTCTTCAAATCAATTACAATTCAGGTTATCTGACAGATATCACAAAACTGCCCACCATAGTCAGATGACTACTTTAGAATTTTCCCTATGAACTTTCTACTATGGTTGAGAAATCACATATGCATCCCACATAGAACTATAAAGTACAGAGCAAAGACCCATTCTTAGACACCTTGAAACAGCCACAACAGATGTTTGGAGTAAGCAGCATAAACTTGAATCTCCTTGCTACCGAGAAATCTCCCTCCCTACCACCACACACACACACACACACACACACACACACACACACACACGCGTGCGCGCGCGCGCGCACGCACACAAACCTGTAAACATGCATGCCTGGTGTGCAATTTAATCATGTGTTTGGGCAAATAATTCAAAGCCTGTCCTGAGGGTGCACACACACTTCTTGAGAGTTAGAAAGTCAATTTTTACAACAGGGAAACATTTTGGTTTTCTGTTTTTTGCTTTTATTGTGGTACTGGGGATTGAACCTAAGGCCTTAATGCATGCTAAGAGTACTACACTACCGAGCCACATCCCCAGCAAAATAGCCAAACATATTAGGAAAATTATTTCTTCTCTTCCATGAAACATAAACTTCAGAAGGCAATGGGGTGAATGATCAAGCTGTGCTGCTGTTGTTTTTATTACATTGAAATGAGCACATGAAATAAAAGACACTGGCAAAATCTAGGCAACACTATTTCTTTAGCATGGTTTCGAGAGGGAAAATGACTAGCTTTAATATTAAGCTCCACAAAGCCAACTGCTCATTGCTTAAATTATTATAAAAGACTTTTACACAGTTCAGATTTTGTGGTTAAATGGTACTATAAAATTCTATTTACAGAGCACCAAAGATTGAGTATTTGTATAGAATGTTTCCATAACAGAATTTCACCTGCAATGGCATGTCATCACTGTTGAGCTGCTTAAAACAGTTACTATGGCCAAGTGCGGTAGCACATGCCTGTAATCCCACCACTTGGGCAACTAAATCAGGAGGACTGCTGTGAGTTCAGTCCAGCCTGAATTACAAAGTATGATTCTTGTCTCAAAAAATAAATGAATAAAATAAAAAACAAAAGACTCATTATAATATGAAAAACTTCATATATAAGTTAGCTATGAAATAAAAGACAGACAATAGAAGAAAAAAGTTATTGTAACTCAGCATGGAAAATATATCTAAAGGAATACTTCGACTTAGTACAATTGTGTTCCATCTTTTATATGTGTTTTGGCTTATAGTCTGGTATGTTTGATATATATATATAATATATATTGATATTGATATATATATCTTATATATATATATATATTTCTTTTTAATAGTCTTATTTTTAATCTGTATACATGACAAGGGTTTATAAGAGAAATGCATGAATGGGATTCTGGCAAAATACAAGGATGGTGGAAAATAAAGAATAGAAATGTGTCATGGACATGTATCAACTCCCAAGAACCAACATGATTATTATGTACTGCAAACACATACCAATAGAAGTTTAAAAAAAAAAGGCAGTCATGAATTCAGAGAAGACAACTAAAATGAGTGAGATTTCATAACTTTCCAGCAGAAAGGGTTCCTAGGGATTCGAGTGCAACGCTAGTGTCAGGGCCTTTGCACTCTGAGTTCCACACAGTACTGGCTTCACTGAGAAGTGGACACCTGATGTTTCCCATATACAAATTTATCCAAGAACCCACCAACTTTCACCTTTTCTCAAGACCAGTGTGCCCATCTTACCTTAGGCTTTCAAACTTTCCCTACTGTCAAGTTCAAATTGTACCTCTTAGACATTATACTGTCTGATTTTGTTGCAGAAAGCTTTTTGATTGATATTTTATTAATCATCTCACTAGGAAAATGTCTCAACCTATCTAGTTCACTTATAACTCTAGTTTTGGGTGTGATCAGCTTACACAACCAATCCTACATCAGAGAAGTGTACATACTTCCCTGATATGTTGGTGCCTGTGCTCCCCTATGCAAAATCATTCGGAACAGTATATATTATTTTCAGAATCTATCTTTATGTGGGCCTAGGGATGGTATGTCAAGCCAGTACGCTCTCACTTATACTCCACTCCTCAGCCCCTTAAGATTTAGTAGAGGATTATAGTTCAATAATACACTGTAAAGTAGAGATCCAATCTCAGATAAAATGTAAAATTATATCACGGTAAATGCTTCTGGAGGACCACTTGTGTAAACAATAGAAGTCACCACAGTGACCTTAATTATAGCTTATTTAGGACTTGTGTCCATGTTTTAAAACATATACATGCACATATATAATTCTATCAAACTGAGAAAAAGCCACACGATGCATGAACAACTGTAACAGTCATTTGACAGTTGAGAAAACTGAAGCTTAAGCTAAATAACTTTGTCAGACAGCTAACTAGAGAATTAACCAGGATTCAGCGGCCAAAGCTCAAATGGCCAAGCCTAACTATTACCCATTCTATCATCTAGAGAGACAACTCTGCAAAGGAAGACTGAGAATACACATGTGAGTTCAGTCAAAGTTTCCAAATGTCCTCTGTTCTCCAGACATGATAGCTTAAAACAGGCTTTAGGTCAATGGAGGCAAACCTATGGCATGCATGTTGCAGCAAGCTCTTTGTACCACTGAAAGCTCTATCACTGCTTTAGGTTCATCTTTCAAAAGACAATGTATTTACAATAGCTAGAAATTACATTTAAAATCAGCTAAGAATGATGGTTAACTCAGAAAACTGTTTCATGAGATGGAGAAATAACAAAAAGCTTACTGTTTTTGAAGTTGATGATTTTTTTCATCCTTTCCTCCCAATTTGCTAAGTTGGAAGGCATCCTGAGATGAGTTTTCCGTTTCAGAAACAACGGCTACAAAAGAGAAGAAAAGCCCCCAAATTTAGAGTAAATTAACATGGCAAAGTTTCATGTTTTACAAATAGGAAGAAGATTCTGCAGGTAGAGAGCTGAATAATTTCTGAAGGGTAAGCTTCCGAGCAAACACATATACATGTTCAAGCGTATAAATTAGCACATAAGAGGGTTATTCATTCAAGCCAAATGAATGTCCACTGCTCTGCTCTGGTTCACATGTGGGCAGACTGGGCTGTCAGGAGAACGCTCAGCCATGACTCCTCGGGGGCACTGGACACCTGCAGCAGGCACATAGGAAAAATCTCACGCTCTCCCAAACCCAGCAGTTAGGACAGCTGCCTAAAACCGGCCCACCTTGTCTTGGTGATTCTTTGCCAGTTTGTCCAGGCGGACCCTTTTCCTTTTTGCCAAACAAACGACCAGTGGAGGACTTGATGCTCTTCTTCTTTGGGGCTTTGTGGAGTGGGTTCTCCCTGCTGTCACTGCTGCTGGGAACGCACACAGGACCATCCTGGGAGCCTCTTGAGCTTGAAGGAAAGAACATGGACTTTTACCACCCTCTTCCCAGCTCCACAGTCCATTCACATGTACAAGAAAAGTGTGCATTTTTAATATTCCTACCTTCAACTTCCTAAAGAATTTTTCAACTCTCTTACACACAATACAATATTCATTGTGATTCAGGGTCCCAGTAATGCTTCCACAGACCAGTGTCTGGAAAGCCAAGATTCTGATGTGCTCCCTGCTCAGAGCAGGCCTGTACTCTAGCCTGCCTTGTTTGGACACATAAGGGAACACCCTCTGCAGGGGCCTTGCTCAGGCACTGAGGGATGCACTCAGTCAACAGGAAAGAGAACAAGGTCTCAGAAGCCTGACTATAATTGTAACATATTTAGGACCTGTGTCCATGTTTTAAAACATATACGTGCACATATATAATTCTATTGAACTGAAAAAAAACCACATGATGTATGAACAACTGTAACTGCCATTTGACAGTTTAGAGAACTGAAGCACAAGCTAAGTAACTTTGTCAGAGACACACAGCTAACTAGAGAATTAACCAGGATTCAGTGGCCAGAGCTCAAATGTCTAAGCCTAACTCTTAACCACTCTGTCCACTAGGGAGACAAGTCTGCAAAGGGAGACTGAGAATAAATGTGTGAGATAAGTCAAAATTTCCAAATGTCCTTGGTTCTCCAGACATGATGGCTTAAAACAGCCTTTAGGTCAGTGGAGGCAAACCTATGGCGTGCATGCTGCAGCAAGCTCTTTGTATCACTGAAAGCTCTATCACTGCTTTAGATTCATCTTTCAAAAGACAATGTATTTACATAGCTAGAAATTACACTTAAAATCAGCTAAGAATGACTGTTAACTCAGAAAACTGTTTCATGAGATGGAGAAATAACAAAAAGCTTACTGTTTTTGAAGTTGATGATTTTTTTCATCCTTTCCTCCCAGTTTGCTAAGTTGGAAGGCATCCTGAGATGAGTTTGGTGTTTCAGAAACAACAGCTACAAAAAAGAAGAAAAGCCCCCAAATTTAGAGTAAATTAACATGGCAAAGTTATATGTTTCACAAATAGGAAGAAGATTCTGCAGGTAGAGAGCTGAATAATTTCTGAAGTGTAAGCATCCGAGCAAACACATATAAATGTTCAAGAGTATAAATTAGCATATAAGAGGGTTATTCATTCAAGCCAAATGAATTTCCACTGCTCTGCTTTGTTTCACATGTGGGCAAACTGGGCTGTCAGAAGAACGCTCAGCCATGACTCCTCGTGGGCACTGGACACTTGCAGCAGGCACATAGGAAAAATCTCAGGCTCTCCCAATCCCAGCAGTTAGGACAGCTGCCTAAAACCGGCCCACCTTGTCTTGGTGATTCTTTGCCAGTTTGTCCAGGCAGAACCTTTTTCTTTTTGCCAAACAAACGACCAGTGGAGGACTTGATGCTCTTCTTCTTTGGGGCTTTGTGAAGCGCATCCTGCCTGCTGTCACTGGTACTGGGATTGTTCACAGGACCTTCCTGGGAGCCTGTTGAGCTTCAAAGAAATAAAATGGATTTTTACCACCCTCTTCCCAGCTCCACAGTCCATTCACACGTACAAGAACAGTCTGCATTTTTAATATTCCTACCTTCAACTTCCTAAAAAACGTTTCGAGTCTCTTACACACAGTACAATATGCCTTGTGATGCAGGGTCCCAGTAATGCTTCCACAGACCTGTGTCTGGAAAGCCAAGATTCTGATGTGCTGCCTGCTCAGAGCAGGCCTATACTCTAGCCTGCCTTGTTTGGACACATAAGGGAACACCCTCTGCAGGGGCCTTGCTCAGGCACTGAGGGATGCACTCAGTCAACAGGAAAGAAAACAAGGTCTCAGAAGCCTGACTGTAATTGTAACTTATTTAGGAATTGTGTCCATGTTATAAAACATATACATGCACATATATAATTCTATTGAACTGAAAAACAGCCACATGATGTATGAACAACTGTAACTGCCATTTGACAGATGAGAAAACTGAAGCACAGGATAAGTAACTTTGTCAGAGACACACAGCTAACTAGAGAATTAACCAGGATTCAGCGGCCAGAGCTCAAATGGCCAAGCCTAACTATTACCCATTCTATTATCCTGGGAGAACACTCTGAAAAGGTAGACTGAGAATACATGTGTGAATTCAGTCAAGACTTCCTAATGTCCTCTGTTCTCCAGACATGATGGCTTCAAACAGGCTTTAGGTCAGTGGAGGCAAACCTATGGCGTGCATGCTGCAGCAAGCTCTTTGTATCACTGAAAGCTCTATCACTGCTTTAGGTTCATCTTTCAAAAGACAATGTATTTACATAGCTAGAAATTACACTTACAATCAGCTAAGAATGACTGTTAACTCAGAAAACTGTTTCATGAGATGGAGAAATAACAAAAAGCTTACTGTTTTTGAAGTTGATGATTTTTTTCATCCTTTCCTCCCAATTTGCTAAGTTGGAAGGCATCCTGAGATGAGTTTTCTGTTTCAGAAACAACAGCTACAAAAAAGAAGAAAATTCACCAAATTTAGAGTAAATTAACATGGCAAAGTTATATGTTTCACAAATAGGAAGAAGATTCTGCAGGTAGAGAGCTGAATCATTTCTGAAGTGTAAGCTTCCGAGCAAACACATATAAATGTTCAAGCATATAAATTAGCATATAAGAGGGTTATTCATTCACGCCAAATGAATGTCCACTGCTCTGCTCTGGTTCACATGTGGGCAGACTGGGCTGTCTGGAGAATGCTCAGCCATGATTCCTTGTGGGCACTGGACACCTGTGGCAGGTACATAGGAAAAAGCTCATGCTCTCCCAATCCCAGCAGTTAGGACAGCTGCCTAAAACCGGCCCACCTTGTCTTGGTGATTCTTTGCCAGTTTCTCCAGGTGGACCCTTTTTCTTTTTGCCAAACAAACGACCAGTGGAGGACTTGATGCTCTTCTTCTTTGGGGCTTTGTGGAGCGCGTCCTGCCTGCTGTCACTGGTACTGGGATTGTTCACAGGACCTTCCTGGGAGCCTGTTGAGCTTCAAAGAAATAAAATGGATTTTTACCACCCTCTTCCCAGATCTACAGTCCATTCACACGTACAAGAACAGTCTGCATTTTTAATATTCCTACCTTCAACTTCCTAAAAAACGTTTTGAGTCTCTTACACACAGTACAATATGCATTGTGATGCAGGGTCCCAGTAATGCTTCCACAGACCTGTGTCTGGAAAGCCAAGATTCTGATGTGCTCCCTGCTCAGAGCAGGCCTATACTCTAGCCTGCCTTGTTTGGACACATAAGGGAACACCCTCTGAAGGGGCCTTGCTCAGGCACTGAGGGATGCACTCAGTCAACAGGAAAGAAAACAAGGTCTCAGAAGCCTGACTGTAATTGTAACTTATTTAGGAATTGTGTCCATGTTATAAAACATATACATGCACATATATAATTCTATTGAACTGAAAAACAGCCACATGATGTATGAACAACTGTAACTGCCATTTGACAGTTGAGAAAACTGAAGCACAGGATAAGTAACTTTGTCAGAGACACACAGCTAACTAGAGAATTAACCAGGATTCAGCGGCCAGAGCTCAAATGGCCAAGCCTAACTATTACCCATTCTATCATCCTAGGAGACAACTCTGAAAAGGTAGACTGAGAATACATGTGTGAATTCAGTCAAGATTTCCAAATGTCCTCTGTTCACCAGACATGATGGCTTAAAACAGGCTTTAGGTCAATGGAGGCAAACCTATGGCGTGCATGCTGCAGCAAGCTCTTTGTATCACTGGAAGCTCTATCACTGCTTTAGGTTCATCTTTCAAAAGACAATGTATTTACATAGCTAGAAATTACACTTAAAATCAGCTAAGAATGACTGTTAACTCAGAAAAATGTTTCATGAGATGGAGAAATAACAAAAAGCTTACTGTTTTTGAAATTGACGATTTTTTTCATCCTTTCCTCCCAATTTGCTAAGTTGGAAGGCAGCCTGAGATGAGTTTTCGGCTTCAGAAACAACAGCTACAAAAAAGAAGAAAATTCCCCAAATTTAGAGTAAATTAACATGGCAAAGTTATATGTTTCACAAATAGGAAGAAGATTCTGCAGGTAGAGAGCTGAATAATTTCTGAAGGGTAAGCTTCCGGGCAAACACATATAAATGTTCAAGCGTATAAATTAGCATATAAGAGGGTTATTCATTCACGCCAAATGAATGTCCACTGCTCTGCTCTGGTTCACATGTGGGCAGACTGGGCTGTCTGGAGAATGCTCAGCCATGATTCCTTGTGGGCACTGGACACCTGTGGCAGGTACATAGGAAAAAGCGCATGCTCTCCCAATCCCAGCAGTTAGGACAGCTGCCTAAAACCGGCCCACCTTGTCTTGGTGATTCTTTGCCAGTTTGTCCAGGCGGACCCTTTTCCTTTTTGCCAAACAAACGACCAGTGGAGGACTTGATGCTCTTCTTCTTTAGAGCTTTGTGGAGTGGGTTCTCCCTGCTGTCACTGCTGCTGGGAACACTCACAGGACCATCCTGGGAGCCTGTTGAGCTTGAAGGAAAGAACATGGACTTTTACCACCCTCTTCACAGCTCCACAGTCCATTCACATGTACAAGAAAAGTGTGCATTTTTAATATTCCTACCTTCAACTTCCTAAAGAATTTTTCAACTCTCTTACACACAGTACAATATTCATTGTGATTCAGGGTCCCAGTAATGCTTCCACAGATCAGTGTCTGGAAAGCCAAGATTCTGATGTGCTCCCTGCTCAGAGCAGGCCTGTACTCTAGCCTGCCTTGTTTGGACACATAAGGGAACACCCTCTGCAGGGGCCTTGCTCAGGCACTGAGGGATGCACTCAGTCAACAGGAAAGAGAACAAGGTCTCAGAAGCCTGACTATAATTGTAACATATTTAGGACCTGTGTCCATGTTTTAAAACATATACGTGCACATATATAATTCTATTGAACTGAAAAACAGCCACATGATGTATGAACAACTGTAACTGCCATTTGACAGTTTAGAGAACTGAAGCACAAGCTAAGTAACTTTGTCAGAGACACACAGCTAACTAGAGAATTAACCAGGATTCAGTGGCCAGAGCTCAAATGTCTAAGCCTAACTCTTAACCACTCTGTCCACTAGGGAGACAAGTCTGCAAAGGGAGACTGAGAATAAATGTGTGAGTTAAGTCAAAATTTCCAAATGTCCTTGGTTCTCCAGACATGATGGCTTAAAACAGCCTTTAGGTCAATGGAGGCAAACCTATGGCGTGCATGCTGCAGCAAGCTCTTTGTATCACTGAAAGCTCTATCACTGCTTTAGATTCATCTTTCAAAAGACAATGTATTTACATAGCTAGAAATTACACTTAAAATCAGCTAAGAATGACTGTTAACTCAGAAAACTGTTTCATGAGATGGAGAAATAACAAAAAGCTTACTGTTTTTGAAGTTGATGATTTTTTTCATCCTTTCCTCCCAGTTTGCTAAGTTTGAAGGCATCCTGAGATGAGTTTGGTGTTTCAGAAACAACAGCTACAAAAAAGAAGAAAAGCCCCCAAATTTAGAGTAAATTAACATGGCAAAGTTATATGTTTCACAAATAGGAAGAAGATTCTGCAGGTAGAGAGCTGAATAATTTCTGAAGGGTAAGCTTCCGAGCAAACACATATAAATGTTCAAGAGTATAAATTAGCACATAAGAGGGTTATTCATTCAAGCCAAATGAATTTCCACTGCTCTGCTTTGTTTCACATGTGGGCAAACTGGGCTGTCAGAAGAACGCTCAGCCATGACTCCTCGTGGGCACTGGACACTTGCAGCAGGCACATAGGAAAAATCTCAGGCTCTCCCAATCCCAGCAGTTAGGACAGCTGCCTAAAACCGGCCCACCTTGTCTTGGTGATTCTTTGCCAGTTTGTCCAGGCAGAACCTTTTTCTTTTTGCCAAACAAACGACCAGTGGAGGACTTGATGCTCTTCTTCTTTGGGGCTTTGTGGAGCGCGTCCTGCCTGCTGTCACTGGTACTGGGATTGTTCACAGGACCTTCCTGGGAGCCTGTTGAGCTTCAAAGAAATAAAATGGATTTTTACCACCCTCTTCCCAGCTCCACAGTCCATTCACACGTACAAGAACAGTCTGCATTTTTAATATTCCTACCTTCAACTTCCTAAAAAATGTTTCGAGTCTCTTACACACAGTACAATATGCATTGTGATGCAGGGTCCCAGTAATGCTTCCACAGACCTGTGTCTGGAAAGCCAAGATTCTGATGTGCTCCCTGCTCAGAGCAGGCCTGTACTCTAGCCTGCCTTGTTTGGACACATAAGGGAACACCCTCTGCAGGGGCCTTGCTCAGGCACTGAGGGATGCACTCAGTCAACAGGAAAGAAAACAAGGTCTCAGAAGCCTGACTGTAATTGTAACTTATTTAGGAATTGTGTCCATGTTATAAAACATATACATGCACATATATAATTCTATTGAACTGAAAAACAGCCACATGATGTATGAACAACTGTAACTGCCATTTGACAGATGAGAAAACTGAAGCACAGGATAAGTAACTTTGTCAGAGACACACAGCTAACTAGAGAATTAACCAGGATTCAGCGGCCAGAGCTCAAATGGCCAAGCCTAACTATTACCCATTCTATTATCCTGGGAGAACACTCTGAAAAGGTAGACTGAGAATACATGTGTGAATTCAGTCAAGACTTCCTAATGTCCTCTGTTCTCCAGACATGATGGCTTCAAACAGGCTTTAGGTCAGTGGAGGCAAACCTATGGCGTGCATGCTGCAGCAAGCTCTTTGTATCACTGAAAGCTCTATCACTGCTTTAGGTTCATCTTTCAAAAGACAATGTATTTACATAGCTAGAAATTACACTTACAATCAGCTAAGAATGACTGTTAACTCAGAAAAATGTTTCATGAGATGGAGAAATAACAAAAAGCTTACTGTTTTTGAAGTTGATGATTTTTTTCATCCTTTCCTCCCAATTTGCTAAGTTGGAAGGCATCCTGAGATGAGTTTTCTGTTTCAGAAACAACAGCTACAAAAAAGAAGAAAATTCACCAAATTTAGAGTAAATTAACATGGCAAAGTTATATGTTTCACAAATAGGAAGAAGATTCTGCAGGTAGAGAGCTGAATCATTTCTGAAGTGTAAGCTTCCGAGCAAACACATATAAATGTTCAAGCGTATAAATTAGCATATAAGAGGGTTATTCATTCACGCCAAATGAATGTCCACTGCTCTGCTCTGGTTCACATGTGGGCCGACTGGGCTGTCTGGAGAATGCTCAGCCATGATTCCTTGTGGGCACTGGACACCTGTGGCAGGTACATAGGAAAAAGCTCATGCTCTCCCAATCCCAGCAGTTAGGACAGCTGCCTAAAACCGGCCCACCTTGTCTTGGTGATTCTTTGCCAGTTTCTCCAGGTGGACCCTTTTTCTTTTTGCCAAACAAACGACCAGTGGAGGACTTGATGCTCTTCTTCTTTGGGGCTTTGTGGAGCGCGTCCTGCCTGCTGTCACTGGTACTGGGATTGTTCACAGGACCTTCCTGGGAGCCTGTTGAGCTTCAAAGAAATAAAATGGATTTTTACCACCCTCTTCCCAGATCCACAGTCCATTCACACGTACAAGAACAGTCTGCATTTTTAATATTCCTACCTTCAACTTCCTAAAAAACGTTTTGAGTCTCTTACACACAGTACAATATGCATTGTGATGCAGGGTCCCAGTAATGCTTCCACAGACCTGTGTCTGGAAAGCCAAGATTCTGATGTGCTCCCTGCTCAGAGCAGGCCTGTACTCTAGCCTGCCTTGTTTGGACACATAAGGGAACACCCTCTGCAGGGGCCTTGCTCAGGCACTGAGGGATGCACTCAGTCAACAGGAAAGAAAACAAGGTCTCAGAAGCCTGACTGTAATTGTAACTTATTTAGGAATTGTGTCCATGTTATAAAACATATACATGCACATATATAATTCTATTGAACTGAAAAACAGCCACATGATGTATGAACAACTGTAACTGCCATTTGACAGTTGAGAAAACTGAAGCACAGGATAAGTAACTTTGTCAGAGACACACAGCTAACTAGAGAATTAACCAGGATTCAGCGGCCAGAGCTCAAATGGCCAAGCCTAACTATTACCCATTCTATCATCCTGGGAGACAACTCTGAAAAGGTAGACTGAGAATACATGTGTGAATTCAGTCAAGATTTCCAAATGTCCTCTGTTCACCAGACATGATGGCTTAAAACAGGCTTTAGGTCAATGGAGGCAAACCTATGGCGTGCATGCTGCAGCAAGCTCTTTGTATCACTGAAAGCTCTATCACTGCTTTAGGTTCATCTTTCAAAAGACAATGTATTTACATAGCTAGAAATTACACTTAAAATCAGCTAACAATTACTGTTAACTCAGAAACCTGTTTCATGAGATGGAGAAATAACAAAAAGCTTACTTTTTTTGAAATTTTCGATTTTTTTCAGCCTTTCCTCCCAATTTGCTAAGTCGGAACGCATCCTGAGATGAGGTTTCTGTTTCAGAAAGAACAGCTATTAAAAAATCAGAAAAGCCCCCAAATTTACAGTAAATTAACATGGCAAAGTTATATGTTTCACAAATAGGTTGAAGGTTCTGCAGGTAGAGAGCTAAATAATTTCTGAAGGGTAAGCTTCCAAGCAAACACATACAAATGTTCAAGAGTGTAAAGTAGCACTTATGAGGGTTATTCATTCACGCCAAATGAATGTCCACTGCTCTGCTTTGGTTCACACATGGGCAGACTGAGAAAGCAGACTGGGCTTTTCTGGAGAACCCTCAGCCATGACTCCAGGTGGACACTGCGCACCTGCGGCAGGCACACAGGACAAAGTTCACGTTCTCCCATTCCCAGCAGTTAGGACAGCTGCCGAAACCCCACCCACCTTGTCCTGGTGATTCTTTGCCAGTTTGTCCAGGCCGACCCTTTTCCTTTTTGCCAAACAAACGACCAATGGAGGACTTGATGCCCTTCTTCTTTGGGGCTTTGTGGGGCGAGTCCTGCCTGCTGTCACTGCTACTGGGATTGCTCACAGGACCATCCTGGGCACTTTTTGATCTTGAAGGAAAGAAAATGGACTTTTACCACATGCCCTCTTTAGAACTCCACAGTCCACTCACATGTACCAAAACAGTCTGCATTTTTAATATTCCTACTTCAACTCCCTGAAGATCCTTTCCAGTCTCTTACCCACAGCACACTATGCATAGCAATGCAGGGTCCCAGTAATGCTTCCACAGACCTTTGTCTGGAAAGCCAAGATTCTGATGTTGCTCCCTGCTCAGAGGAGGCCTGTACTCTAGCCTGCCTGGTTTGGACATCTAAGGGAACACCCTCTGCAGGGGCCTTGCTCAGCCAGTGAGGTTTACACTCAGCCCTCAGGAAAGAGAACAAGGTCTCAGAAGCCAGAAGAACTGGAATTCCACCTTCCCTCTCAGCAGCTCCTGCAGGCTGGTTCCTTGGATCCTGCTCTCCTGCAAAGTGAGAGCTGTACTATCTCTCAGGACACTGTGGAGACCAATGTGCCTGCTTGATCATACTGCCTGGTATGGAACAAAAGCTTCTAAGAGGAAGTGTGGAAAACAACAGTCTATAAGTAACCAAGCCTTCATGGCCTCCTGATGGAACATGCTTCCTAAAGGGATAGGGACAATGTGGGACTCTCAAGAGCTTAGAAGACCCAGAGTGTGGGAGGGTACCTGAGAGGCACCGATTGTCCACAGAATAGCACGATCCAGAACCTGCCACATCTGTGTGGCAAATTCTTCACCAGGAATAGAAAGAAAGTTCTTAAAAGAAGTGAGTGTGTGGGATCTGAAGAAATGGAGCTTTTCTCTCAAGTGCTAATTTCAAATAATTCCTATTCTTTCTAAACTTTGCCCAAACAGATGGCCTTTTCCACTGGATGTCACTACAGCCGCAGAACAGGAGAACACATTCTAGGTCTAACGTTTAAATAATCACAACCAAATGAGCTTGCTGAGAATTCTTTAAAAACTTGGTTTTTCTCACAGGAAAAGATTAATAGATGTTCTTAAAAACTAAGACAAGCAAGTTTCTCAGGGGTCTGGTGGCCTACGAGACCTGCTCCTTACTTTTGCATGTCCCTGATGTCCTCGTGGCTGACTATTTGCAACGCCCCTGTGTGCAGCCTGTCTAGCTGAAGGGACTTCGGAGAGGAGAGAGGGGAAGTTTCACATTTTATCGTTGTCTTGTCATCTCGTTCTTCTTCTCTGCAAGCTAGCAACTGAGGAGTGAAAAAACAACATCAGCTAACAGTACATTATAAGAAAACACATCACATAGGCTTTAAATAACATAAACTGACTCAAAACCTATTAGCTAAACTTTCTACCTGTCCTGAGAAGTCTCATTTTAATTGAATGCCAACCTGAAGGCCTGTTTGTCTGGGGGAAATGGACCACATAGCAGAGAGAGAGCAGGGCAGGTTGACCTATAGCCTTCCTTCATGGAAGCCCCGGGAAGCCCAGGGACAGCATCACCCCCCCTTTAAGATTCTGTTCTCCGTACAACCTCAGGTACCTCTGAGGATAGTTACTGAGGGACAGTGAAGTCCTAAACGAAGCCTGTTCACTGCACTTTATCACTTCAGGTTAACAAAGTTACTCTCATTACTGAAGAGCCTGTGACACATATCTTCAGTTACTGATGTCACTCAAAGGAACACTAGTGGGGGCCGAAGCCTCAGGGAAACTGTCAATACTTTTACCTCTAGCAAGAAACAAGACAAGGACAGCATGAGCGAAGACCCAAATATGCATGTGTGTGGCTTCTGTTTCTCACTGTGTGGACCAAATGTTATGAGCAGAAGCATTTGCATGCAGCCTAAAACCCTCCTTCCATGTGGCTTCATAAAATAATCCTGGGTTTTGGGTTTGCATATTATCTTTTTTTGAAGTCCTGCAATGTCTCCAATGTTTTGCTTTTATTGGTTTTGTTCTTTAATGTTTTCAGTTTTATTATAACTGATGATATAGGCAATTCTTTTTAAGATAGCAAGAGGCATTATGGTAACCAATGATCATCATCACTTTGTCTTCCGTTTTTATATTATGTACTATATCCATTCTTTTGATTTGACTGACTCTGTTTTGTTATGTCACATTGGATTTTATTCTCTTCAAATAGAAAGTAATAAGAACTGTGGGAGTAATAAAACCCAAAATGTATAATTGTCATAGTAAAAAAGAGAGGAAAAGAAAGTGCTCTAAAGGATATAATTGCATGTATATTTAAGTGTATAAGATAGATAACCATATTGCTAAGTTTTTGTGGGATCATTGAACAGAATTGTTTGTAGTCTCACAGTTTGAATGTCTACTTTATATGCTTTAATTTTGTAATCTGAACAACCATTTCTAAGATGACAGTATGTAATCTATTAACTAGTGACTTCCTACTGTTTATTTTTTTTTTTGAAATTCTGTATCACTTGTATCCTTTTTCTGTTTTTTTTTTTCTTTTTCTCCTTAAATAAAAAAATAATAATAATCCTGGGTATATTATTAAAAGAGGGTCACGCAGACCCTGGGATTTCTTTTAGGGGATGGCCCATGAGTATGCCTATGTGTTGAGGAAGGCAGGACTGTGGAAATAGTGCATATGTGAACTCTTTCAGGGTCTGGTTAGGCCCTGTTTAGAAGGTTGTTATTTTCGGGTTTTGAAGCAGGACTAGATTTCATGAAACATTCATGGTGAACAACAAGTGGTGAATAGTTAATTTATTTATCTGTACAATGGTATAAAGGATACAGATTCCATTATAGTCCTGTAGCAGCTCACTGAAGACCACCTAGACTAGTGTGAGCTGAGAGCATTTAGGATATAATTTTTTTTTTGTCTTTTTCCTTTTTATTGGTGCTGGGGATCGAACTCACGACTGCCTGCTTACAAGGCAGGCGTTTATGCTGCTGAGCTAAACTTCCAGCCCGCTAGGATATAATCTTAACAGATAAACAGATAAATTCTGTATCTTTCTCTCTTTTTTTTGAGATAAGGTTTCATTATACAGTTCTGGCTGGCCATGAACTCACATGATAGCCCAGGCTGGCTTCAAACTCCAGCAGTCCTCCCTTATCAGCCTCCTGAGTGCTGGGATTACAGGCATATATCACCTTGTCTGGCTCTCATTTCTAATTGTAGTAACAAAACAAAAGACTGTCGGGGGCTGGGGTAACCAGAGCTCACTTACTTAGCTTGTTTGAGGCCCTGTGTTTAACCGCCAGCAATCTCATCTCTAAAAAAGTCCATCAAGCTTGAAATCAACAACATGAATCATAAAAGTTCAAAAAAACTTTTTGGGAGGGAAAAAGAAATCAAACTTAGGACATTGTTTGCCAGGCATCATTTAAATTTCACGTTAAAATAATCATTTGTTAAAGTAGAAAAGAAAAAGAAGAGGTAAGGCACTATACGTATGCTCCACCCACAAAAAGAGATTTTTTTTTTAATTTAAGGAGAAAAGAAAAGAAAGAAAAAAAAACAGTGAAGGGGTACAAGTTATACAGATTTACAGAATAAAAAAATGCACAGTAGGAAATCACTAGTTAATGGATTACATATTGCCATCTTAGAAATAATTGTTTAAGTCACAAAATTAAAGCTTGTAGAGTGGACATTCCAACAATGATACTGCAAACAGTTCTGTTCAATGATCCAATAAAACTCTGTGCTATCATTTTCTATCTTATACATTTAAATATACATGCAGTTATATAGTTTAGAGCACTTTCTTTTCCTCTCTTTTGTACAGTGACTATTACACATTTTGGGTTTCATTGCTCCCACGGTTCTTGTTGCTTTTTTTGGAAGAGAGTAAAACCAAATGTGACATAAGAGATTCTTGCACCAAGACTCCCCTACACTAGCCCCTGCTCTGCCCAGAGCCTTCCAGGCTCACTGAACCAGGTCTTCATTCTGCCTCTGTTCTCTTGTGGGAGGAAAGCACAAGGCTAGGGCCCACTGCCTTGTCTCAGACATGTCTACAAGTGCCAAGAAGTCACCTTAGTCTGCCCAGTAAAACTGAAATGAAGAAGTAACCATCCCATATCGCTCTTTGTCTGGCCCATATTTTCTGTCCTTAGACTCACTGCTAGGCTAATCTTCACAGCCAGCCCAGAGCAAGTCTTCTCAAAGTCACCAGGCTGCATGCTGAGGAGAGATGACTAGTGAACAAGAGGAGGCCACAGTGTCTGAGTCTAAGTCAACAGACTGCTTCCTTTGCTGAGAAATTCTTACTGCCAAAACCAAAATATCCAAACCACACTGAAGTCCACTGAACAGAGGTAAGCTCTGAGGCCGGCTGCTGGTGAAAGCGCGGCATCTCACTTTGGGCGGGCACAGATCAGGGCCATTCCAAGCAGCACTACTGTGTGGATCACTACCTCACTTACAAGAGAGCAAGCCATGGTTCCACTGGGCCAAGGAACAGCTCCCAGGCCAGGAACTAATCAGCAACAGAGTGAGGATCTGTACCCGTGTCCTTAGTAAATTTCCCTTCTGCTCAGCCACATAGAGAAGCTCACACACAGCTGCTGAGGACAATCACTACTTGGCACCTGCAGCAGCACTGCCCCACAAGTGTACCACCAGGAAGGCAGGAAGCATGAAGCGGGCATGGCACAGGGCCAGAGGCAGCAGGCATTAGGGGGAGCTTCTAGATGGACAGAAAGAAAACCTCACAATCCCCACTGCTCCCAGGGTACTGCTTTTACTTTCAAGTTTTACTCTGAGAGGGAGACTCCCAGCAGATCAGAGCATCTTGACAAATCTAGGCCCAAGGGAGAAATGGTCCTGGTTTTGAAATCAAAACACACTTAACTCCTACCTGCTCTGCACATCATGTGATCTAAATTTCAGTTTCCACATCTGTAATTGGGGGCAAGCACAGCAACTGGTTTCTCACGGGGATGTGCTTGTGGACTAAATATAGCAAAAAAATGGCCAAGTACTGAGTTTGGCACCCGGCAGAGAGCAGTGCTTACTAATTTCTAGCCTTCCATATCAGAGAAAACTGTTTTTCCTCCATCTAAAGCCTATGGCTCTGCTTCAATCATTCCCTCCTTTCAAATCCTAAATTTTCCATCTATTATACACACGCATGCAATGGTTAGAGGCAAAAGCTCTGAGTATAGCAAGCACTGACATCTGTCCCCATGTTCCATGGATGGCTGATTGCCAAGAGAACAGTAACTTGTGATGTGGCAGGTCAGTTTAAACATTTCCAATGAAACATCACTTATTCATTACAATATATTGACAACATTACACTTATGTGTGACATACTATACTCTTCCATGCATTAGGGAGATACAAAGGTATGCTCAGTTACTGGAAAATTTGCCTTTCTATGATAGTTCCTTAAGTTGCTAGGCTGACAAGACGCATGCATAGAAATAGACACCAGATTTATGACACGATTTAAAGCTAAAAATTCAAGGATCTACTCAGGCAAATATATTACAATACAAAGGACAAGACAGAAATAAGGGAGACAGGATTTAGAGGAAATATAACTGGAAATCAAATAATCTTTTATCACAAATTTAAATCTAAGTTATCCAAGATTTACTAGAAAACACTATAAATTACTACTCAAAGAGCACATTCTGTTTGAACACATGCGATTTAAAGCATGACACTATAGAACAAAGGGCCCTGATAACCACCTACTCTCTAATATTCCCATGATGACAAGGATGTTACAGCAATATCTATTATAAAACTGAACAGCCAGGCATGGTGGTGCAGAGTGTAATCCCAGCATTTGGGAATCTGAGCCTGGAGAACTGCCAACATGTACTACACGAGTTCAAAGCCAGCCTGAACTGCATGGCGAGATCCTGTAATAAGCAGATGAACAAAGCTCTATAAAAATAAAAACAGAAATAATTTCTTAGATAACTACAGAGATGGTGAGTGACTCTAGAACTATATGGATAAAAAGATAAATAACGAGCTTAGGGAAATAATGGAGACCATGAATGCCTAGCACAGGAAAGAAATATTGTGCTCTGAGTGAATGATTTGGGGATGATAATGAATAATGTATGTGCCATTGTTGCCCTGATTGCTGTTTTGAAATTTTTGTTTTAGTTTTTTTTTCTCTCAAAATAAAATGGGTTTGGGGGGAGAGGAACCAAGAAGAAATAGATTCAAACAGATATCCAGGAGATTATAGAAGATGAATTACAGTTAGCAATCATGGAAAGAAAGATTTCTTAAAAGAAGCAAAGGGCCAAAAAAAAAAAAAAGTCAATCCAGTGGCCACTAAATGATGCAAAGAGGAATAATGTAAGATTGACTGGAGTCAATGAAAAAGCAGGAGATACCACAAATTGCTTAAACTTGTTCACAAAAGTAATGGGAAAAAAATTCCCAAGCAGGGTAAAAAATTCAACACAGAGATAAGTGAAGAAATTAGCCATTATAAAAACTCCAATTCACCACTACAAAAACAATCTATACCAAGGCATATAATACTCAAAATTCCACAAATTCACCACAAGAACAGATTATTAAAAGTTGTTAGAGAAAAGAAACAAATCACTTATAAAGAAAAGCCCATCAGAATCAGCAGACTTCTCAACATAAATGCTCAAGTTAAGGAGAGCTTGGAGTGAAGCCTTTCAAGCCCTAGAAAACAACCTCCAAACTAGATTGATTTACACTGGAAAACTAACTTTCAAAATTAATGAATAAAACTTTCCATGATAAAGAACACCTGAGGAAACCCACGAACACCAAACCAGCACACCAAAATGTTCTGATGGACATTCCTGAAAGAGATATTAAGGACTACAACTCCATGAAGAACAACAGAATCAATCAACCAGGCAAGGCAAGCAATTCACAGAGGAGGGAAAAAGAGAACCAATGATAAGAGAATAACCATGAAAAGATAAGTCAATACATATCAGTTATAATCAATGTTAATGGCCTCAGTTCCCCAACGAAAGAAACAGACTGGCAGAATGGATCAAAAAGCAGGATCGAACAATATGCTGCATACAAGAAACACATTTTATTCAAAAAGAAATTCACAGACTGAAAGGTCAAAGGATGGAAAACAATACTCATGTAACAGGAACCTGGAAAAAAGCAGGGGTAGTTATTCTATCTGCAGACAAAGGGATTTCAAGCCAAGACTGATTAAGAGACAAAGGTCACTGTATCCTTGTAAAGGGAACAATCCAAGAGGAAATGATAACAGTCATAAATATATATGCACCAAATGCCAACCATGGAAAACCCAACTATACAAACAAATATTAATAGACATGATAAGCAAAATATGCACTAATACATTTATAACAGGGAATTCACTATCCCACTGTCACAAATGGGTGGATCAACTAAACAAGAAAATCAACAATGTAATGTCAGAACTGAACCAAATTGTTAAACAAACGGATTTAGCAGATTTCTACAGTGTATTCCACACCAGAACATCAGAGGACACATTCTTTTTGCTGCATATGCAACCTTCTCCACAATAGGACACATGGTAGCTCACAGAACATGCTTAAAGAAATGGAAAGAAGTTGAAATTATTCCAGACATATTATCAGCCCACAGTGCAGTGAAACTGGAAATCAATGGCCAACTACAAGATTCATAAACATATAGATATTCAATAATACCTTCCTGGATAACCAATGGGTTATAGATGAAATTAAATAGTATCTATAATTAAATGATAATGCCAATACATTGTAACAGAACATAAGGAACACAATGAAAGCAGTCCTAGGAGGGAAATTTACAGCACTGAATACCCATAGCTGAAAAACAGAGCAAGCTCAAATAACCTACTGTTGAACCTCAAGCTTTTAGATCAAGGGCAGGTCATGCCTAAAGCTTGTAAAAAGGAGGATGTTATAGAGAACAGAGCAGAAGTTAAAGCAATGGAGACTAACAAAATAATACAAAGAATCAATGAAACAAAGAGTTCTGTGTTACATTAAATGAACTTGACAAACTCTCAGCCAACCTTATTAAAAACAAAAAAGACCCAAACACATACAATTGGGAATCAAAAGGTGGAAATCACAAGAAGCCCTACAGATATTCAGAAGATCCTCAAAACCAAACCTACTTTCAGAATGTGTATTGTAAGATAGAAAACAAAGAAGAAATAGACAGATTCCTAGTTACATATGAATTACCACAGCTGAATCAAGAAGGTATAAAAATTCTAAATAAATCAGTATCTGTCAGTGAAAGTGAAGATGTAATTAAAACCCCATCAATAAAAAAAACCCTAGGCCCTGACAGATTCACTGCTGAACACCACAAGAAATTTAGAGAAAACCTAATACTACTACTTCAGTCTCTTTTAAGAAATTGAAAGAGAAGCCATACTCCCAAATTCAT